GTGGGAGTCTTAATTCTGAATTTCCTGACCCTTGTGGGTTTCAATCTGAAACTGAACATTGTATTAACATATTTTTAATTGAGTGAGAGAGGGAAAGAAAGTGTATATTAAAAGCCTTTATTAGTTAAAGATGAGTATTTCCCAACGAACACATTTTACCCTCTCATTTTTCATGCCAAGTTTTCTTTGTAATTGAAAACTAACTACTCCAGTCTCTCTGCACTGAGTTTCCTTGAGATTGGGAACTCAGCATGACCATCTTCATATTCAGTGCAGCGGTGGATTTCATCTTACTGAGACAGAACCTATGCCCATTAAAGTCAACTGCAAAATTCCTGTTCATTAGAAGGGAGCAGGATATGAGCCTACTAATTTAGATAATTTATTAAATATTTAGAACTATTTCATTAAGTACAGCAAATTATTTCAGGCAACAAAAACTATAAAAATGACTGGGGCTGGTGTGACAGCCTGTCAGGAAAAGATTTTATTTCCTTTAGTTCATTTAATTCATAGAAGTGTAGGATTTCAACAATAGAAAGAAAATATCCAGGAACATTATTGCTTCTCCCCACCATCGTGCCAGTCAGTTTTCATTAGAAGACTTCACGTTGTATAAATTTTTAAATCATATGTAGCAATTTTAATATATAACACAGTATAGGAGATTTTTTTAAATTATTGTTTGATCAGATCATTCCATTTTACATTCCCCTGTGAAAAAATTCCTTATGATTTTTAACTATTGCTTAAAGATTCACTAATGTCCCTTGGAAAATATGGTAAATCAGGTGTCTTGGAGACTACCCTACTAAATTGCCAATTTTTTAAAATGTTTTCAGCAAATGGCAGGAATCATCAGTATAGGACTGATTCAAAGTTCACTTAAATCAGTTAGGGCTCTTTCCTTTAATCTCATGGGACTTTGGATCAGGCCTGGTGTATAGGAACTGTAGTATATATTGTCATTTCATTAGAGAGGCTCATCTTAAAGAAATTAACCAACCCCCAAAACATGATATTATGATAGATATTTCCAAAGTTGTTTTCATAAAAATACTGCTGAAGGTGAAGTTTTCTGGAGGTAGCTCTCCCTTATAGTATAGCTTATTTAGTACATACTAATTGAAAAGTCTGATTGATAAGAGCAATATTTGGGATCTTGTTTCCAAAAAGAAATCACTTGTATTTTGGAGTTAGAAACCAGTGTGTCGTGTGGCCCAGTCAAGTGTCCTTTTAGAATCCCACTGGGAAATCAATAGAGTTTTACGATGTTAGCTGCAGCTTTGTGTAAACACTATAACATTTTATGATGGGAAACAGTGCTTTGCTTTTATGTAAAAATGGCATTGATTAGGAGAGTTTATGCATTGTGTTGCTGAATTATTAGGGACAGTTAAAAGGGTAGGTATTGTGGGTTGAAAACTGTGTAATCCAGGAAGAGGTCATTTTTTATTTTCTTGTTCATTCAAAAAATACAAAAACTTTTTTAGAGCTTTGTGACTATCATGGTAATAAAATTGATTTTGATTTCTATGACTATATTCTTAGCAAGTTATTTATATTTAAAATGATTAGTTGTACATATTTTGACCTTGGAAAGAGTTCAGAAAAGGGCAACTAAAATGATTAGGGGTTTGGAACGGGTCCCATATGAAGAGAGGTTAAAGCGACTGGGAATTTTCAGTTTAGAAAAGAGGAGACTGAGGGGGATATGATAGAGGTCTATAAAATCATGAGTGGTGTGGAGAGGGCCAATAAAGAAAAGTTATTTATTAGTTCCCATAATAGAAGAAGTAGAGGACACCAAATGAAATTAATGAGTAGCAGGTTTAAAACTAATACAAGAAAGTTCTTCTTCACACAGCGTGTAGTCAAACTATGGAACTCCTTGCCAGAGGAGGCTGTGAAGGCTAGGACTGTAACAGAGATTAAAGGGAAGCTAAATAATTTCATGGAGGTTAGGTCCATAAAAGGCTATTAGGCAGGGGGTAGGAATGGTGTCCCTGGTCTCTGTTTGTCAGAGGCTGGAGAGGGATGGCAGGAGACAAATCGCTTGATCGTTGTCTTCAATCCACCCTCTCTCGGGCACCTGGTGCTGGCCACTGTCGGTAGACAGGATACTGGGCTAGATGGACCTTTGGTCTGACCCAGTACGGCCGTTCTTATGTTCTTATGTTATGTTCTTATTCATTTTATTATGTATTAGAATGTGCACTTACCAAACTACTTCATGGACAGCTCTTGGGATGATTTTCTCTCTCAAGGTTCACACTCAGTTTATTCTTTTCTGAGGTTTATTTCTCATAGCATAAGTTATAGATATTATAAATTGCAAGACAGCTCATGTTCTAGACATGAGCCAGCACCTCAAACCTTGGCAGCTAGGACTCACTAGCAATTCTCAGATCAGGAGTTTGGATTTCTTATCAAAACCTATGCAAAGAAATGTCCATTACTGAATTCTCATCCTTTGAACACACACATTCAAATGCACACATTTTTCTTTCTTTCCATCAAAGCAGCTATTTTTATCTCTCAACATTCAAAATTGTTTTCACTCGTTCAATCCAAGACATCAAATGTGTTAATTTTAAGTCCATTCGGTGCATACAATTTCACATTTTAAAAGAATAGCAAAAAGCTACATGTGGGATTTTCAAAAGTACTCCACGCTAACTTAACTGTCCTCCCATTTAGGTCAATTGGTGTTTACCACGTATTTCAGTGAGTACAAAGTTCCCCAGTGCTGAGTGCTTTTGAAATTCTTACTCCACATCTATGCACAAGATGAAGAGTCCAAGAATTGCATATTCCCTAGTGTCCTGGGAGAGACAGTTCCTTTAAGGCACAGTCCTGAGTAAGGGGTGGTACCAAGACACTGTAGCCCAGCAATAACTTGACAAGAACAATCCCTCTCCAAGGTTACTGATATGCAAGGAAGAGTATGCTGGGTCACCATTCTTTGCTCCCCAAACGCAGAGTGAGGTGGGACTAAAGCATCCCTGTTGATCCCCACCCTTTGTAGAGCAATATGCATCCCAGGAGTGCATGAAAGAAGCAGTCCTTGTGCTCCTCACAAGCTCAGAGACTGCAGCCATGACAGGTATTTGCATGGGGTGCATATGACTTGCTAAGGTGCCTTGCGCTATCTGTGTTAATTCCTACCCCTAAATGTACCCCCTATACATGCACTGAACTTAATAGCTGTGGTTCTTGATGTTCAGAAGGTTAAATGCTAATTTCACAACCAGAAACAATTGAAAGAGAATTATAAAAAGATCAGATTCTGTACGGAATTTCAGGACATCCACCCCCAAATCAGTTGTGACCCAGTTTATGCTTGGATCTTAATGCACCAGAAAAAAATGTTAACCGTTCCCCTCCTCCCAAATAGTGGTTTTCATATACCATGAAAAGAATGTTAGTGAGATCTTTGCCCATCCAACCCAAAATAAAGGTCTCATTGGCAGGCAGATACAGCTCAGATGTGTAACATTTTATGTACTGTAATTATAAACTAGTGGAACACTCCCACTTGCACAGACATACTCACATATTTCTCATCACATAAAGCCTGTTATTAAGAACATCTCAAGGTTCAACATTCATTAAACATTTTTGTGTAGCTGTTCCACTTGGAATCAAAGTAGCTTTTTAGCTACACTTCAGTGCATTGAGAAAGACAAGTCTAAAAGTCTTTTGATAAGTCTTTTTTAAAGAATAGTTTCAGTGTAAGTCGGTCTATTTTTTTAACATTTTTATCTGATTATTTGGTTAAAAGATTAGAAACTAAACCTTTTATTTATCCAGGGCACAGAACTTGCAGCTGCAAGACAAGCAAGCTTCCTCACTCTGCCCTTCCGACGACCTCAGCTCTGACCTGCAGGGACCACCCTTATTAGAGGTGAGAGGTAACTCAGGCTCCATTCTTGCTTAGTCTGGGCCTCCCCTAAGCAGAAACTTTGGTGTTTTATGAGATGATCACATGTCAGTGAGGTAAAGAGCTGAGGCCTTTATGTAAATTTCTAGCTGAAGTAGAAAGCTAGTATTTTATCACTAAGCCACCCAAGTCCTCACTGTAATTCCGATACATTTAAGAACATATATAAAAATCCATGGGCCAAATTTTGTCTTCATTGCACTTTGGGCACATTGTTGCCTTGCCTCGATTTCTCAGTGGAGTTATATGCTGCATAAGTCAATACACAATCTGACCCACTTTATTTGATTTTTGCTTCACTGAATTTTCATGTACCCAGCAGATCAATTTCTTTTTGAATATAAAAAGAATCTACTTACCTATCAAAATGCCTCTGTATTATACAACAGAACTGAAGTAACGTTTGAAAAAAAAAACAGGCTAAGGTAAGGTGTTCTCTTTTGGAAAAATCTAGACCTTTTGGAAGCTGATTACTTTTTAAGATTTTAAGAAGCAGTTGCTTTCAATAGCAATGAAAGGCTGATTCGAGTTGTTAAATTTTATGTTGTGTGTAACGTTGTAATTGATGTCAAGACTTTCCCGTAGTCTTCACACTGACATTGGGCAGTCTCCTGAACTCAAGGAGCTCAATTACAAGAACCCAGATCAAGTAATAGAGCCATGAAATGGATAGCAAAATGAGCATTTATTGCTAAGAACTGAGAAGTTAAAATGCAAAATAATTAAGCCTTTGCCAAATTTATCCAGTTTCTCCCCCCTCCATTTATTTCAGTGGATAATTGGGAGCATTAGGTATTTCACTGCACACTGTTTCTCCAGTAAATGCATATAAAACTTTATTACCCTTGTAAAATACATGCTGTGAATTCTGATGCTTCTGTGTGTTTGGGAGAACTTAATTGTTCCCTTTGCAGGAAAGCATACTTACCTAGATCTTTAAATGAACAATCTAGCTTCCTAAACAACTGCTGCTGAAAAGCAGCACATGAGACTTGCAATAGAAAATGATCTTGGAAAAGGCACATTGAACTCACAGCTCAAAAAGATTGTTCCTTACCTGCATGCAGAGGATGTCTTAAGTGAGTGCTTTCTCATAGTCCTGTATTTTGTTTCAGCTACACCAGACTAACACGGCTACATTTCTTTCACTATTCTCTTCCTCTTGTTATTGTTGTGGATTTTCTTTCTTAACAAACCTAAAAAAATAATAACCATTTATTATGTCAATTCTGGAAGTATCTTTATTTGTTCAAGTCCTACTATTGCATTCACTCGGACTAGACAAATGTGGGAGATTACCCACATGACAATGTTAAATTAGTTTTAGCAAAGGAGGAAAAAGAGGAGAAATAAAAGTAAAAAGCCAGAGAGAGAAGTATAATGGGATAGGTACCAAGAATATGCAAGCAAAACATTTTCTAAGGTCTTTCCTTCTACTGTCACTGTGCCAGCCCTCATTCCATTACAGATGACTGTCCATTCTCTGACACATAAAACTACAGTGTAGCATCATCTTTTATCTATAGTTTGGAATCCACAGATCCAGTCCTACAAACCCACAGGCATGCACAGGAATAACCCTTCTCATTAATGTCAGTGGGATTACTCCCATGAGGAAGAACCAGTCATTTGAGTAAAGGTTTGCAGAATTGGGCCAGAGATCATATATGGAGGCCACATTCAAACATTTGCCTTAGGCACACAGCTGTCAATTTTAAATCAGTGTGTATCCTGATTTTTTAACCTTGGCACTAAAGTGTCGGTTCCAAGCACTCCTGCTGACTGCTTGAAGTTACAGGCTAATTATTTCTCATCCTGTTAGCTGCTAGATCTCACAAGAAATGTAGTGTATATTTCCCAGAATATACTCCTCTTTAGTTGTGATGCCAAGGTAATGCATTTCTGATTCCATAAATCCTCTGGACAGTTAATAAATATCTATATGTAGAAAAGGGCAGCTGTTTCTCACCTGATCCTAAAATCTTAAAATGTCAAAACCAGCAGGACAGTCACCCCTTCAGACCTTTAATTTCACCCTTAGCAGATCTGATTTGTTGGAGGAAGTAACAGTTTACACATTGCAAAAATAAATGGTGCAGCAGGCAATCGTACACAGTAGGAGGTGTGAAAAATGGGGAGGGGTAAGTGACACTGATGGAAACAATCAACTAATGCAGAATGAAAGCACTTGTCCTGCTCTGAGTGGAACTAAAAGGAGCTTCAAACACATTAAACTAAAACAGAAACACAAACAACCAAACTTTTTTTTTTTTTGCAAAGCCGTTTTCAAGAACAATTGATATCATACACATTTGTCCACACAAAAAGCAGAACATATAATCAATTCCAAATTCCTATATATTTAGAAGTGTGACATTTGTTCATCTGCCTATCCAGTGTATCTTCAGAAACCACAAATTCACAACATAGGAGCTTACTAACTGAATAGAGAATGGAGTTTATATACCTTGTATGGCAGTGTGCACTAGAAATGTGGGATGCATCAGCAGTGTGTCTAAATCAAAGCAATAATATTGTTACAGTGCAATATGAATCTGACAAAAATGTGACTGCAAATAATGCCATTATAAGACAGAAATATTGTGTCCAAATGCTTGTGTTATTTGGATTCAATCGGCCATCATTTCAATTTCATTCTGTTCTAGATGACTGTAAACCGGACCAGAAGTTGGCCCAATGAGACAATTAGATGTTACAGAAACACTTCCAAAAGTAGTAGGCTTAAAACGTGCCAGGCAATACTGTTGGAGAAATTAACTTTGGTTCCAGGCATGCACAGACCATTACATTCAAATACGTAGGACAATGATATTTTTTCCTTAAAAAAACAACAATTAAATAGCATTACCCTCAATAGCAGTACTTGGACCCAGTGTGTGTTTATGCAGGGGAAGAGCCTATTCTCTAGAAAAAGGACATCAGTCTCAAAGAGCTAATGGACTAATATAAATAATAACATTTAAAAGCATATTGTTATTTACACATTAGGTATATTCTGTTAAATAAGTCCCAAATTAAAGTTAAAAACATAGAGTTAAATTACACCTATCTCTGCATACCTTTTGGAAAAACCGCTAGATTGAAAAGTGTCTGTGTGTGCATGTATAAAAAAAAACCCTTTCTATGGGCTTTGTCTTTAAACGATGCCATAACAGAGAATTAGATCTCTGCAAGAGAATTCTACAAACTGTTTTAAAAACCCATTGAAAACATCTCAGTCTCTAACAAATTAGAAAGCTTTTTTTATGAATGCCTTCTAAGGAATGCTCTTAAATGTCTGTAGAAATCTATTGGTTTCAACCCTATGCATTTTTAAAGGACATTTCCATTAGGATTTATGGCACTAAAGGAAAGAAAAGACATGGGGAACCTTGCCCTCAGTGCACCCACGCACCAGACAGCCATGCTTTTTAGCTCCCTCCCTTGTTCAAGAACACAACAGGAAAAAGGACTAGTAGTCCCTTCTAGGCTGGGGAGTGGAATAATGATTGTCACACCCTATTACATAGAAGAATAATTCTCCTGCCACAAGCACAAGCGACATCTTGGCAAAGGTGTAGCAAGAGCTAACTCTCATTATGCATCCTCTGAACTTTGCTTTTGCTTTGGAATCCTTATGTCTGATAGAGACATAATGAACCACATCCCAAGACGGTGCAGATAATCTGGGTCTATTAACATCTAATGAGAATCTGTCCCAATCCCAACAGAATACCAGGCTTCTGGTGATACACAACCCCCATATCATAGTAGGGTATAATGTGGCTCATGCTATGGTACCAGACCAGGTAATTATTTTATATAATAGATATTTGAGAGTGAGGTTTGACAATTACCCAAACAATATGTGCTACATATAGATTAAACCTCAATAAATGTTTCAAGCTTTGTGATTATTAAATGATACTTAATTGTCCCACATTAATTTAAGCTTTCCATTGAAGCCATAAACTTCAATTGTAGGTTTGTGCTTAAATACCTTCCTGAATCAGAGGTTGTATGCACATTTTAGAAACTTAAAAGTTTAAACAAGACAGAAAATATACCAAAATTAAGTCACTATTGAGCTAGGTATCTACCAGCTTTAGGTATTTTCACACACTGCCTGGGTTCAAATGTAAATAGCCCATGAAAATAAGTCTGAAAATCTCATAAATAATTGCAAATAAGATTATAATTAAACCAAGGAAGTGGTGAGAGTTATAATGCTCATGGAGAGAATACTTCTTAATTTTGGGCAGGAGGGTCACGAATACATTAATATTATATTTTTTGGTGAAAAACAAATCTAAAGAGAGAACTGAAACACTGGGTGAAGTACCATTTATATATATATTTGGCAGAATGTATTCTGGTACTGATCCATTATACTGGTCTAATTACTTTAAGTTTTCTTGTGAACTCCTTCAGTGTAAACAAACTCTGTTAGTGTCCTTTAGCTGTGGGCTTCAAAAGACCTACAATTACAAATTTTATTGCTCAGTGTTACAAGATGATGGTATCTCAGGAGAAGGTGACAGTGAGTTAACAGATAGGTCCCCAAGGGCAACTGGCCCAGACCTACAGACTCCCTTCTCCAAACAGAGAAACAGGCACAATTAGCAACTTTCAAAATGATAAATCTCTTTACTTCAGTAACCCAGCCTAATGTAGCTGAATGATCTCTCTTTCATTCACATTTTGGTACTAATTAACTCATAACATTTGGCTTTGTCTCTTAAGACTCTGTAGTTTTTTAGATGGCATCTCTGACAACAGCATGCCATGGCAAACAAACACAAATAATGTCAGAACAAACCAATTACAAAAAGTGAATGAGTTTGCAACTCTCTCCTGGTAAACCATCAGGGAGCACAAGTATGTTGATTCCTGGTATCTATGTATATTAGTGTTTTCTGCAGTGGCCATCATCATAATATCTAAACACTGGTAGTAGAAAGAGATAAGGGTGAAGATTAGATTGCCAAAAAGGCAACAAACTGTCCTCATATCTGACTATTTCTAAAGTGCCTATCACATAGCATCTAGAACTGTATTATAAAAGAGTTGTCCAATAATACAGAGCACTTGAGTATTTTTTTTAAAGAGATGAGCTTAGATTCTAATGTTTGCTCTAGATCTTATTAAGGTTTAAGCTGGCGGTTAGTTTTGACACTAGATTAGAGCTAGCACATTTAATGAAGGTAATCACTTTGGGTATAGTCAAGGAAACGTGAGGTTTCAGTTTTCATCCATCTCTCCTTTTCACATCTGTCATCTGGAGGAAATGTGTATCAAGCACAGATGCTTAATGATCCATTTCTATTCTTCTGCCATACACGTCTACTTAGGAATCTGTGCACCACTTCGGATAAAATAAGAATCAGTTTACACCTTTACCTGAAACCTGAATCAAATATTTTTGGAGGCTAGAAAAAATGTGGATATATTCTAAACTTCATGTGTCAGAAGCACCAACATACCATTAGAGATTTCTCCTTGAGCTGTGGGGAAGGCATGACATAGAAGAGCTCATCGGAGGAGCTGTGCTGCCTGGGAAATACCAGGGCCACACTTACACAGTTCCTGACATATCCTATGACAAGGGCAGGGGGTAGATAACTCCAAATGTGAAGCTATCCCGTGGTACCTTGGGAAAGTCCACACAATTCAGAGGGTTAGGCCTACTGCCTAGGTTTATCATTCCTCTCTGCACCACAAATTCTGAGGTAACTAAGATGCCATGACCAGGCCCCGCCAAAGAGTTTGCAGGGCCCAAGGCAGCATGCTGACAGTGGCTGCGCCACATGGCCAGGTGCTTTCCAGTCAAGGCAGTGAGTGAGGAGCCAGGCAAACGAGGGCTGGGAGCATGGGCCCCACGCCTTCAGGGCCCCAAAACAATGGCCTTGCTCACCTTGTCCTATGGCCAGTCCTGGCCATGACCCCATTGTCCCTTTCTAGTCCAGCATCCCACACACATTCTGCAGAGCGTGCCCTGTAATTATGCTATGTCAGACTTAACCTCAGCAGAAATGTTTCCACAAGTTTATTAGGGAAGCTATTACATACAGTAGACATACTATTGATATCTCAGAACCCTGGCCACCCTGCGTTCATACATGGGGGGGGTTTCATGGCTTCAGAGGGAGACAACGACACCTGGAACTCCTGTCCCCTATCCCCAGCCC